GACTTTTGTGAGTTTGATTAGCATGACTCCTCCCTGCCAAAACCTAACTGTTTTTCAATTCCTGAATGTGAGACCCTGAGTCCCAAGTCACCACAAGATACAACCATTCTGGGGGCCCAGCCAGAACTATCCTGTCACCCTCTATAATAGCAGTAGAACACCTCCCATTTGACTTAAATTGCACAGTAATCTGTATACTATGAACTAAAAAGTAGGTAAGTGAAGGCAGTATAAACTACCACTACTTTCCCCCAAAAATGTATAAAAATCAAATCCCACTTAGGCACTAATGATTCCATAGAATAAATCAAAGTAACAACTTTACATTAACAAACAAACAAACAAAAATCCAAAATAATCAATTGAGGAAAACTCACTGCCATAGTAACCTCTTGTGGAAAAGTATTTGTTCAAAATACCTCCCCCCCCCCCCCCCCCCCCCCGCCCAAGGATACAGCTTTCCATCTCACTGACCCAAGTGTGGTCAAATAATTATTCACAAATGGAATGTGGAGGAAGCAACATGTACTACTATGAGCGAAAGCTTTCAGAGCCCGAGGTGGTTCTGCAATTGCTCTTCCCCTTTGCTCTGAGAATGGCGAGGGATCCCAGAGCGAAGGGGTGTGGGCAAAGTCCCCCTTGCATGTTATGTGGGTGTAAGTCTCTGAGAGTGAGCCATTAGCATAACTAGCTTAAACTGACTCATTACAAAAACAGGTGCTCAAACGGGTTCTGCCCTAGCAGAAAGCCTAAAATATGTGACATTAGTTTCAGGGCCAGGCAGTGAGGAAACCACCTGCAAGATGGCAGCCCCTGTAATTGGGTGGTTAACTCTTTGGTAACACGGTTGCTTACGATCAGTTCAAAGATGAACAATGTAAGCATGGACTTGTGGTGTTATGAGAAGAGGCTGGAAATACCAGTAGTGTGAGTTGGTTGTTATTGACTACCAACTATTGATTACAAGAGAAAAATTGAGCTCAAGAGTTTGCAAAATAAAAATGAAAGGCAAAAAGAAAATGTCCAGAAATTCCAGGACTTGCAAGGTTGGACACTGAACCAATTCTCACTTCCTACTGGTCAAAGACAATCTAGATAAGATTTCTGCATGACACCGGTCAATTAAAACTCAGCCTAATGGCAAGGATCAAGTCATGAGTGTGCTTGTCAAACCTTTTGTTTAAACTTCTGGATAATTTCAGATGGCTCCCAGTAAATCTTTTCAGTGGGACCAAATTGCTTAGAGTGACCAAAAGTATGGCTTTTCTAAGGAAATCCCAAACGCTCCACAATTAAGTCTAAAGCAAAGGGAATATTTCAAAAATAACTGTGTGTAAAGCTACTGATACATGAAGCTGATGGAATTAAATACATAAAAAGCTGATTAAGTTTTTGAGAGTTACACTTGAATGTTCATAATCCGACAAAATTCCCTGGGCCATCGACCTACCCAAGCAAGATGAAACAACTGCTTAGCCCTCAAGAGAGCTTCTAATCTACCTTCACCTTCGTCTGTGACCAAGGAGGATACTGCAAAAGGAAGTGAATTCCAAGGGCAGAGCCACGAGCGCAGAACTCTGGACTGAGAGCTCCACCCAGGGAGCAGAATCAGGCTAGAGCCAAAGATGTCCCCACTCCCAAGGTCAATGAGCCTCACCACGTCTGCCCAGTGGAATTTCATAACTGTCATGGCCCTGGGACTGCTGAGCACCCCCATGCTTCCTCTTTCTGAACTGGAGTATTGATTGTATGCCATGTATATGGACTCAAGCAACTTGTCCTTTTAGTTCGTAGGTCTCCACACCCAGAGGAGAAACATTCAGACCTGATGTTAAGACTATCACACCACCCAGGACTTTGATCCTGATGTTTTGATAGGATGGAGCTTTAGGGTTGTCTCTTGGGGAGAGATTTTATGTGGAGTGGGGTAAGTGAATATCATAAGAACATAGGGGGAGACTAATTATTTGTTCAAAATAGTCACTGCCCCTCCTTTTGGGTCCCTCACTATAGGAGGCTTATACTTCCCACCTCATGGACATGAGGCTTGGACACATGACCTGCTTGGGACAATGGCTTGTGAGCAGAAGTGACACATGCCACTATGAGCAGAAGCTGGAAGAGCTATTTCCTGCTTCTGATGTGGCGCTGTCCCCCTGCCACAAGAACAGTATTGCCCAGAACAGGGTTGATTCTTCAGCCCAAATCCCAGAGGGAAGACAGTGTGAAGCAGGGTCACAGCCAGTCCAGTGCTGATTTGTTAAAGAAGAAATACACCTTTGTTAGTGTGAACCACTGAGATCTGGGGGGCTGATCTAGACTAAGCTGTCTGGTATACCTGTCAGTGCTGTACATCAAGGTCAATGGTGTATATCAAGGCCAAAGAGGTTTAAACTATTACTCCAATTACTTGGGAGGATTCCTTATTGGTGGGGTTTCTCCCATCCCCTAGAAGATTAAATGTGTATTATCAACCTAGAATACCGCTAAACTACCATCTTGGGTTCATTCACAGCCCTCCACCTAGTGCTCCCTCTTCTTCCAGCCTACCACAGCCAAAACTAAATCCACCTCTGGCATCAATTACCATCATCACCATCATCCACCCCCCTCATTGTCTATGTCAACTGAAACTGACAAGGATGACGCAATTCCATTTGCTAGAAGACTCCAGCAACTACCCGAGGTAGTCATATGATTGACTGAGGGGTTAGGATGTTGAAGCCAGACAACCTGGTTGTAGAACTAGTATCCCTTCCTCACTAGCTAGATAACCATGAACAAGTTACTTTAGCTCTCTGTGCCTTGCTCTCCTCAGTTTACCTCTGTGTGCCTCAGTTGCCAGTCTTCAAAATAGGAATGTTTTAAAGATGAAATGAGTTAGTATAAATAGTAGGATAGTTATCAACACATATTTGGTTGTCAGTAAATAGCAGCTATTATTATTTTCATCGTTATTGTTAATAGGATTATTCACCTCTTTTTAATGTTGCCAAAACTAATGCATAGAATTTATGTGATCTGTCTAAGGTCACACAGCCAAAAAGTAGTGAAGTCTGACTCCTCACTAATCCGGGAAGGTAACATTTGAACAGGGATCCAGCCTCCAACAGCCTCCTCACCCATCCACAACCTCAGAACTGCCTGGTCCCCTCTTCTCCATAAGCCTTCCCCACCCTCTCCAGCACAGGCTGGTTCTCCTTTCCCCAAACACTAATGGGAAGGGTAGCTTGTGCCACTCCATCTGCCATCGAACCATGCAGATCCTGGGTTAGGCTTCATCCTAGGTGCCAGAGTCCTCTCTCCTCTGTGATTGTGACACCATCAAGGCCAGGGCTCTCTCATGCTCCTTGGTACCCACCACAGTGCCCATTACAGAAATAAACCAAAGGGTCTGAGTGTGTACTGAGAAGGGAGGAGAGAGCCCCAGGCAAAGGGCAGAGATGCCAGCATCCACCTTGATGGGCTGAACCTCCTGCAGAGTAGGAACTGGGGTCAGTTTCCTTTGGCAAACAAAGAAGCTCCAGAGAAAATGAGGCAAAAATGTCCATAGTTCATGCTTTGAGGAAAAATTAAGAGGCTCTCAACTCACCTGGGGCCTGGATTTCATGAATAAACTGGTTGTTCCCTCTTCTCCTGGGTCTCTCTCTGGAGGAGGAGCAGGGTCCTGAGAAGGGAGAACCAGGAAGGTAGCCATAAGGAAGGCTAACCCTTATGGCATTTATAGCTCCCAGACTCTATAAACAGTTCTCATGTCACCTCCATGGTTCTGGGGACAGAGTTCAGTCAAAAGGAGCTGAGAGGCAGCCTCTAGCCTGCCTACATCAGAGCGAGCACCCTTGTACACAGCTGCATGAGCCCCCCACCCCCTACACACACACACACACACACACACACACACTCCACAGGCTACAGGCCACTGCAGGCTGGAGGGAGCTGAAGTATAACCACAGTCTCGCTACTCCATCGGAGAGTTGCTTACTGGGCCTTCAATATGCAAATCCTGCACTAGGCCTTGTGAAAATATAGACATGGAGGAGACCTGTGGATATAAAACAGGTGAACAACACAAAGCAAGTCCCAGGGCAAGGCCATGGAGGGATGCAGACTTGAAGGGGAAGAAGTTATAGCTCTCCCCTCACCATGGAAACCCAGTACAGAGGCCACTCTTCCTGAGAAACTGTCCTTGCTAGTCCCAGGACCATTAGGTCTCAGCAGCACGTGGTGAGAGTCCCTCTATTATAAGGTTTTGTATCATTAAAGCCTTAAACAAAGAACCAACTGCAACCAGCCAGAGACGTGGTCATAGCTGCCAACAGAAGTGTGGAGGTGGAAAGGCCAACGAAGTCTGGTTAGTTCAGCACTTCTCAAACTTCAATGTGCATGTGGATCCCTGAGGGTATTGTGAGAGAGGCACTGGCTCAGTGACTGTGGGGAGGCTGCATTTCTTTCCTTCTATATTTTTGTGTGTGTTAATCCTCACCCAAGTACTATATTTTTTCCATTGACTTTTAGAGAGAGTGAAAGGGAGGTAGGGGAAGGGGCGGGGACATCTATGTGAGAGAGGCACATCAGTTGGTTGCTTCCTGCACACGCCACAACCAGGGCCAGGGATGGAACCTGAAACCCAGGTACGTGCCCTTCACCGGGAAATCAAACCCACAACCCTTCGGTCTGAGAGACAACGCTCTAACCACTGAGCTTACCAGCCATGGGGAGGCTGCATTTCTAAAGAGCATCCCTGTGCTGCCTATGCTGCTGGGCTACAGACCACAAGGCACGCCCGTTCCCTCTCTCTGTCGCGGCTACAGCATAGCCACGACCCACCCGCTTCGGCATTGCCAGCCCCTTCCAGGAGCGCAGGCCGGCGCAGCTTTCCTACATCACATTTACGCGCGCCGGCCGCTGAGACTTCTGGGGAATGCAGTCCGTGCGAAGGCCGAGCATTGATTGGGCACGCAGGCGTCAGAGCCCTTGGCGCAGGCGCATCGCTTTCCCGACCCGAAGAGGCGCCGTCTTCCTGGGTCCCCAGCGCTGAGTCCCGGAGGTGAGGGCTGCGGAAATGTGTCTTTGAAATGCCAAGTGAGCGCAGCGGCCGTGAGAAGGGGACACTGAGCACCTAGGGGAGGTGTTGTAGGAGTAGAACGGGGTGACACGGCAGAGCCTGCGTGCGTTGTGTGTGTGTGCTTCCAGGTACACCCACTATCTGTCACATGCCGATTTTCAGGTTGGAAGTTTGGAGTCTTGCTCCTGTCAACGAAATTTTTGGAGACCGTTCTGAGACAGAAGACAGTTTTGTTCAGAAGCGGTTTGCAGACGAGGCAGACAGAGCCTCCGGGTGCACTGCAGGGGCGGTGGGGCAGAGTTTTTAAAGGCAAAACCTGCAAGAATCTGACCGTTAAGTGGAATGGCTGCAAAGGGAAGCAAAGCCATACGCATACACTATACGTTTTCTGATTGGTTAGAGCAACTGGGCTTTCCAATTTCCGTTAATTCATGGTCAGCAGATAGTTATAAGATAGGGCCAACGGTTGTAGTGAGGAGACGTGGGCAGCAGGGGGTGTCACAAGACTGTGACCATTGCCTCAGTTTCCCTTGGAGCTCGTAAAACAAACTTGTAAAACAGGTACTGATTCAACAGACAACACGGGGAGTGCAGTTTGTCATGTAGCCTGAGTTCAAACTGCAAAGCTGCTTAGTCACTCACGCAGAGCCAGAGACCAAATTGCAAAAAGTTAACATATTTAACCACGAAGTTATGATGTTAAAATACTCCGTTCCTCCCTCCACTTCTTTGCATTATGAGTGCTTACTAAAAGTGGGTGGAACTGACACTACATCTAGGGTACCGCCCACTCCAGCCCCTCCCTCTTTCCCAGAAACCACCTCAGACTGACTCCTTAGCTCCTACCTTGACATCCCCATGAGTGATCGCGGTAGGGGGCGGCTTCATGGAGGAGGTTGAATGAGGATCAGGACTAGACAGATACACAAGGTGATTGTATGAGTCGGATCCAGGGACTGACAGAGATAAAACTATTTTGGGACAGATGTACTAGAGGTCACATCCAGGACTAGGGAGAGGAAGGGACTAGTGGCAGAGAGTCAGGAATGGTTGGTAAGTGATAGTCTTCCTGAAGCAAGCTGTTATGGACCTCAATTATGATGGTGTCAGTGTTAGAGAGAACACACATGACCTTGCAAGAGAAGACTCAGAAGGACCTAGTGATTAACTAAATTTGGGAAGAAAGAAAGTGAGGTAAGAGTTTGAATTTGGGGCACCTGGGAGAATACTAGAACATGTCATAGAAATGTAAAACCAGTGAGAGGAGTTGATATGGAGAATTGCTGAGGGCAGATGGTTTTGAGGTGCTGGCGGAATGCCTAATTAAAAATTGCAGTCATTTGGAAATGCAAGGTGACTTTGGAAGAGGGGTTGGGACTACACTGGGAACCATCTCTGAAGAGGTGGAAAATGGAGTGCCTGGTGTGAGGGATAGAAAGGAGAACGTTGTACAAAGACTGAGCCTTGGGCAGCATCTGTGTTCCCAGGGCAAGATTGGGAAAAAGTCACAGAGAGATGCAGTGTTAGTGGGAGGAAGAAAGTCAGACTAGTGCAGTATCAGCAAAAACACGTCAAAAAGTCAAAAGCTGCAGAAAAATATATAAGGAGAAAAGGATTATAGCTCAGAAAGGTATTGTTAGTTTTCAAGCATGCAGTTTCAGGTGTGTGAAGGATGGCAAGAGCAGAATAACAATTCAAGAATAGGTGGTGAGGATGAGGAATAGATAGGTATATACTATTCATCCAAGAAGTTTGGTCATGAAGGGAAGCCTAAATGAGAACTGTTTTGCTAGAGGGAGGCCATGGGATTCAGTGAAGATAGTTTCAGATAGTTTAAACATGGAAAGAAGGTACTGGAGAGATTGGGAGATGCTGGAGAAAGAAAAACGGGATAATGTGGGGAGCTGATTCTGAGCAAGAACAATAGTGTAAAAGAACGTAGGAGACAGTTGTGGGATACTAAGGTGAAGTCCTAGAGACACAGACATTTCTGTTTTGTTGACCTCACTCCCCTGCTGCCTAGTACATAATATTCATTGAATGATAGGATGAATGGGTTCATATTGGGTAGTAGAAAGAATAGGGACTCTCATTTACTGAACACACTGTAAGATAAATGCTTCACATTAATAGTCTATTTACAGCTGCATGAAGTAGGCATTAAAATAACGGGTCAGCTGTTGGCATAAGTAATCAGTTAATAATTCCAGGTCTGTGTATTGCTTTCTTCCTCATGATTCTGCCTCCCTTGGAACTCACTCTTGTGAAGCTCAGTATAAAAAAGATAGTGTTCTGCTAAAATTGAATGGTAGCCATGGAGGTTTGGAGTAGCTATGGAGCTAGGACTGGAACAGTAAAAGCTTTAGATAAGGGCTCACTTGAAGATATAGAATAAGATTTTGAAGAGTGTTTTCTCCTGAAACACTGTGAGATCCAGGGATGGCACTGTGCTAAGTACCCAAATGTTGAAAGCCAGATATCTACCAGGCCATGCGCTTTGTTAGGCTGAGGTAGAATTTGACCCAGGTCTGTCTAGCAGTTTTTAACCTCTGTACTATAATGATTTATTTTCATGAAAAGATAGCACAGTGCCTGCCTGATCAGTAGCAAATGCAGATGCTCAAAAAATGCTAGTTAATAGGATGTTTAATGGTGTTCCATTGTGTAGATGAGTTGGATCATCAATTAACCAAATCTCCTGTATTGTAAGGATTAAATGAGATAATACATACAAAATGATTGGAAGGTTTCCACATAAAATACTCAATAAAGGCTAGTGTTACTGATAATTAAGAAAAAGCTTTGCATATATTCTTATTTCCTTAGGATAAACTAAGGGAGAATCCCGGGTCAAAGAGTGTGTATTATTTCAAGGTCCTTGATACAAATTGCAGTGATCTTCCTAAAACCTAATAATGACACTTCCATGCTTAAATCCTTCAGTGATCCCCATGTCATGTATAGGAAAGGGACCACAAAAAGATCTCCTGGATCTAGCTGGTTTCTGCTTGCTTCTCCAATCTCCTCTTTTCCCACAGTTCTGTCGCACCCTAGACATCTGCCATTCTATGAGCTCTCATAGTTTGCTGTTCATATCTCTTTAAAGCACTTATCCATCCTGCAGTGAAATATTATTTTGGTTACTTACTTGTTCTGTGTGCTAAGCTATAAGCTTTTAGAGGACAAGGAAAGTGTTTTGGGGCTTGCTCAATAGTGCTGGACACATGTTGGTTGGATAAATGGATGAATGCAAAACAAGGATGGGTGAACACACTCCCTTGATTGCAGGAGAGCAGTCAGCAAGCCATACCTTTTCCTCCCTCCCAGGATCGCATTCTCTCCCCATCCCACTCATAAATCCCAGCAATGCTTGATTTAACTATGCTTTAATTAGAATCTTTTTAAAATATATATTTTTTATTGATTTTGAGAGAGAGAAACACCCATGTGAGAGGGAAACATCGATCAGCTGCCTCCTGAATGCTCCCTACTGGGGATCAAGCCTGCAACCTAGGCATGTGCCCTGACCAGGAATTGAACATATACCTTTTGGTATATGGGACGATGCCCAGCCAACTGAGCCACACTGGTGAAGGCTTCTTAGACTCTTGATTGTAAGAAATTGAATCATACTTAGCTAGAGAGAGGGTAGTGGTAAGAATTCACACAAAGCCTAAGAGTGTTGGAGTCTTATGGAAATCCAAGAATAGCCTGGCCAGTGTGTCTCAGTGGTGGAGTCTCGACCCATGCACCAAGAGGTTGATGGTTCGATTCCCAGTCAGGGCACATGCCCAGCTTGTGGGCCAAATCTCCAGTGGGGGGCATGCAGGAGGTGGCCAGTCAATGTTCTCTCTCATCAATGTTTCTCTCTCTCTCTCCCTCTCCCTTCCTCTCTCTCTAAAATCAATAAAGAAAAAAAAATTAAAAAAGAAAAGAAATCCAAGAATAAATAAGGCTGGTCTCTTTGCAAATTGGAGCCCAGGGGTAGTAGGGAAATGAAGGACTTCAGGGCCAGGAATTCTTGAATCTTTACTTCAGTGCTTTACCACTAATGGGACTGGCTACGCTTCCCCCTGACTGCTTCTAGTCCTACCTCCCACATACTCATGGGTTCTGCTTCCTGGTAACTGGTTCCTGTAATCCTCGTGGCTACTTCCGGCCATTATATTCTTTCAGCTCATCACCCACTTGTTGCTCTGACATTTCTTAGTTTACATTCATGAGGAAGGATGTCATCTCTTCAAGCCAGAGCACATTTTAGTCTTCCGGTCAGCCTGTGCATAGCCCACCTGTGGCCTATTCAAAGTGGCTGCCCATGGGCTGCTCCTTGAGCACAAGGCTATAAATAGGGTATTTTTCCTTTGAGGAAAGTTTGGGTGTCTGTGTAGTCATTTATAAAATTTTTTTTAATCCTCACTCAAGGATATTTTTCCATTGATTTTAGACAGAGTGGAAAGGAGAGAGGGAGAGAAAGAGAGAGAAACATTGATGTGAGGGAGACATATTGACTGGTTGCCGCCTGCATGACCCTGACCAGGGCCAGAATCGCATTGTACTAATTCAGGTACATGCCCTTGACCGGGAATCGAACCTGAGACCCTTAGGTCCTTGGGCCTAACTGGCCAGGGCTTCTTATGTTTTTAATGTGAATTTATAAGTACAGTATGAGCCTTAATCTGTTTTTGACACCCAGGAACCAAAACTTTGCCTCCAGGATCACAGTAAACCAAGCACCACATTGTGTTCTGAATAGCAATACCCGTGCCTTTTGCTCCAGTTCTGGGCAGAGTAGAATTGTCCCTGGCCTTGCTTTAATTTGCTTCCCTTTGTGTAGGGTATTGAATTGAGGACGGATATGTAACTCATGGGTATATGGAGATTTCTTGCTTCATGGGTCAGAAAACTACAAACAAGACTGGTCTTTCTCGTGCTTTCTTTCTCATCCCACACCTTTCCTTCATTAGGACTCTGTCCCTTCGTACATGGAGAGCACACGGGAGGGAATGGCTGCTGTGGCTCCGACGGCCAGATGCCAGGTGACGTAGACTTTTCTGTTTTTGAAATACTTTGTCTCCAGAATATAACCCCTTTTCTTTCTCTCTCCTGGAGCTTTTTTGATCAGACCCACCAGGTAGAGGAAGGATTCCACAGGGAGTGCTTCCTTTCCATTTGACTTTTGGTATCCTTCAGTGACCTTTTCTGGCCTTGAACACTTCACGTATGTGCTCACCAGCCTGTCGTCAGGCACACGGCCTCTGTGGCCTTCACTCTGATTTTACCTGAAAAATTATTGTACGTGTCTGATTAGAAGGTTTGGGGAACAGTGGGTTGATTTAGTCCTGACTTCTCCTTGTACATCCATTTATGGACTGAAAGCAAGCCCCAGATACTCCGGGGAGTGCTGGATTAGGCTGGGGAATGTGAGCACCTCAATGAGGTCATGAGCTTTCTGAGGACAGTTTGGTGGGCAGAGACCTCTGCTTGCCCCATTCCCACCCAAAGGAATTCCATGCTCTGGCTTAAAACTTCTACAGACACACTGGAGACTCAGCTGGGGTTTTAGGATGTGGGGTGAAGATGCAGTCTTACAGAATCACAGAACATTAGAGTAAAATGAGAGGGATCCTAAAGATGATCTAGTCAACATCATTGTGTCAAAAAGACAATGGGTGGAATTTGAATAAAGCTGTAGATCAGATAATAGTAAAATGTCAATGCTGTTTTCTTTATTTTCCTAATTATACTGTCATTATATAAGAGAATATCCTTGGCCCTGGCCAGTTTGGCTCAGTGGTTAGAGTGTTGGCTTGTGAACCAGAGAGTTCTGGGTTCAGTTCCAGTCAAGGGCACATATACTTTGGTTGCAGTTCGTCCCAGCCCTGGTTGGGTCGTGCAGAAGGTAACCAGTCGATGTGTCTCTCACATCAATGTTTCTCTCCCTCCCTGCCTCCCACTCTATCTGATGATAAATGTAAAAATATCCTTGGGCGAGGATTAAAAAGAAAATCTTTCTTTTTACAAAATATACATTAAAACATTAATAAGTAGCCCTGGCTGGTTTGGCTCAGCGGTTAGAGCGTAGGCCTGCGGACCAGAGAGTCCTGGGTTTGGTTCCTGCTAAAGGACACGTATCTTGGTTGCAGTTTGTCTCCAGCCCTGGTTGGGGTTGTGTGGGAGGCAACCAGTCGATGTGTCTCTCTCACATCGATGTTTCTCTCTCTCTCTTCCTCCCTCTCTCCCTCCCACTGTATCTGAAGATAATGCAAAAATGTCCTCGTGTGAGGATAAAAAATAATAATAATAAAGAAAATATTAATGAGTAAAGGGACATCATGTTGGCAAGTTACTCTCAAGCGCAGGAAGGACTTGCGAGTTGATGAACGAACACGTGGAGGTGCCCTTTCCCCAGGCCTTGTCCTATACATCTCCTCCATCTGCATGTTCTTGAGTTACATCTTTTCATAACACACTGGTGATCTATAGGAAGTAGTGGGAAAACACATGGGGAGCCTTGATTTTCCAGAGAGCTGTCACCAGGAACAGTCGCTACGGCAAGAAGGATCAGTCACTAGAGGCTAATGGAAGCTAAAGATCTCCAGATGGAATTCACCCTGGAATCTGGAGCAAAGTCAGGAGGCTGTGAAAATCCACCATAAAACACTGGAAAATTCTCACTGTGAACTGAAGATGACATGACCTAAGCACTGATCACCTCTATGGTACACAGACTAGATCAGAACAATATCAGGTGGCCGAGAGAACCAGGACTAGTGCTCAAGTCATGGGACACCAAGCATTATTCATGGTAGCTAAGACATAGAAACTAAAGCGTCCTTCAATAAATAACTGGATAAAGAAGAGGTGGTACATGCCATACAATAGAATACTACTTAGCCAGAAGAAAAGATGAAATACTACCATTTGTGAAAACATGGATGGATCTTGAGAATATCATGCTAGGTGAAATAAGTCAGAAAAAGTCAGGAATCATATTATTTTACTCATATGTGGAATATAAAACTGAAAGCAACAAATGAACAAACAAGAAAACAACAACTCATAGACGCAGACAGCAGTATTTTGGTCACCAGAGGAAAGGGGAGTGGGTGGGTAGTAAAGGGTAAAGGGGGCTAAATATGTGGTGACGGAAGATAATTTGACTTTGGGTGGTAGAGACACGATACAATACACAGATGATGTATCATAGAATTGTACACTTGAAACCTATACAAGTTTATTAATCAGTGTCATCCCAATAAATTTTAAAAAGAAAAAAAAAAGTCCAGGAAGAATATAGAAGAAGATGTATATACCAGAGAGACAGGAAGATAAAGCAATTATGGAAGATGTTAACATTTGGGGGGGCTGGGTGAAGGGTCCATGGGAATTCTTTGTATCTATCTTGCAAGTTTTCTTTTTTAATTCTCACCTGAGGATACTTTTCCATTGATTTTTAGATAGAGTGGGAGGTAGGAAGAGAGAGAAACATCGATGTGAGAGAAACAACTTGATTGGTTGCCTCCCACATGACCCTGACCAGGGCCGGGATCAAACCTGCAACAGAGGTACGTTGCCTTTGACCAGGAATCCAACCTGCAATTCAGTGTGTGGGCCCATGCTCTTACCACTGAGCAAAACTGGCCAGGGCTCTAGCAAGTTTTCTGTAAGTTTTGGGGGGAAAAAAGAGCCTTGATACTCAGAGGCTCAGCTGTGATTATGGTGGTGTGGGATTATCACCAAGGGGGATGACGCTACTTTTTCCAGGTGTGTCAAAGCCCTACTTTGTCAGAACCATTTTCCTTCCCCTCCCTTCACAACCTCCAGGGCTGTCATTGTTAGGACAGTTTTGTCTGGTCCATGTAAAGAGAAGGGTTACGAGTAAGGGAGAATGTGGTTGTGTTTCCAGGAATCAGTGACATTCATGGATGTGGCCGTGATTTTCACAGATGAAGAGTGGAGGCATCTGATCCCTATTCAGAGGGACCTCTACAAGGAGGTGATGCTGGAGAACTATGAGAGTATTGTCTCGCTTGGTAAGGAGAGCTTCCCATAAGTAACTGGACTCTGGACTGTGTTAATGTGGGGTTGAGGGGCTAATAAATGATACCTCTTCTCCCACCTGAGTTCTGAACCACTGAGAGACAAGATAGAAGAGTAGAAGGATGTGGCTTAGGTGTACAGCGACAGTGGCTTCCTAATCCTGATCTCCAGCATTGGACAGACTTACTCTTGAGCCATAAGCAGGGACCACCAGAGGCTCCCTTGCTCAGCAGCCTGGCCCTGCAGCACAGAGGGCCCGGAGGAGCAGAGCAGAGGTTTGCCTGCTGCAGGGACCTGGCTCTCCAGAGGGGGTGAGCAGAAGAGGCCGAGTTATTTATGTCCAGCTCTTCCCCCAACTCATCAGTCACTAGAAGCAGAGGAGGGGAGACGTGTTTCACTTTAAAAGAAGGTTGTGTAGGGATGGGAATACAAGGTTGTACCTCAGAGTAGGTCACTGGAAATGTGTTTGCTTTTGAATATTTGTCTTAAGTGCCTACAGAGGCGACTCTGCAGTTAGAGACTTTCATGACAAAGGGAAAATTAAGAGTTACTGCTGATGTCACGTATTCATGAGAAGTAAAGTTGGGCTCCTTAGGTAATGAGAACCTCTGAGGAGCCTCCAGAATTAGAGGCTGGGAGAGTGTGCAGATTCAGAACCAGGCCTCCAATAAGCAGCGGGTGGCAGTAAAATGAGTCACATTGTAGATTTCATGCAAGGCAGGTCAAACAAACAAGTGTAACACCCCCTGGATTAACTGAAACAGGACAAATAGGGAAACAGAATAATGTTCATGGAGCATCAAAGGAGACTGCTAAGCCTTTGTCACAGGCTTTGGTGGGACGAAATACTGTGATGCAGAATTTATCAGGTCAGAGACAGGAAGCCGCAGGGAGGTGATGGATGTGGCCTCTTTGTCAGCAGAGAATCAGCATACAACTGGAGAGAGGATCCTGGGGCCAGTAAGAAGGTGCCTCTCTTTCCCAAGTTGGGGGTTCAATGCAAGGGAAGTTTAGACCTTAAGACTGTTTCTAGGAGGGGAATTTGTATAACCAAAAATGGATAAGTTCACTTCTAGAAATTTGTCCCAAGGGATTAGCAGCCCATGCTGTATGTACATGTTCTTCATATTGTTTTTTAAATAGAAAAACGTTGAAAGCAATTTGAAATGTCTGTCAGCATGAGATTAAATAAATTAGATTATTCCATTCAATATAGTATCAGGTAGCCATTAAAATGGTGAGGTATATATGTGCTTATTTGAAATAAAATAATTTTTAAATTTGTTATGTGAAAAAGCAAAGTTTACAAATAACATTATTTAATTATCCAGTTTTTAGCAGAGTATATCTGTAGGTACCTTTCAGCATAGAAATAAATAGAAGTTTTAAAAAATGAATATAAAGTATAAAAGGTGGTTTTTCTTTTGACTTATACGTATCTCTAATTTTCCTGCAGTGAACTTGACCCACTTATTTAAATAAAAGCATAATACTAATGGGTAAGCAAACAAAGAAAAAAGCACTTTAATTACATGTTTTTACTCAAGGTGATATTTTTTTTCATATTTATCTTCCCTGAACCAAGGACTGTTCCCGCCCATCCTACCAGCAGTAAAGCCAGGAGCATCCCATTCACCTCTGGAGGACAAATAAACACATTCATTCAAGGGTTTTTGTCAACTTTTGACCAAGTGCTTCTTGTTCCTTTTTAGAACCTCAGTGTTGACCTCCATCCAGATATCCCTGCATCTTCTGCATTACTTTGTGTTCCACATTCTTGGCATGTATGATCTGCCTTCTGTATTTTCTCTCTGAAAGACCTAGAGGCTGGGATTAAGCTTTAGAGTGGTTGTGTATTTTTGTCATATACCTGGCTTGTTTCTTTCTCCATGAGCAGGACTTCCAGTTCCTCAACCTGATGTGATTTTCCAGTTGAAGAGAGAGGATAAGCCTTGGATAGTTGATTTTCATGGATCTGATGAGAGAAGATGGCCAGGGAACATTTCTCTAGGTAACTGCTTTGAACAGGGTAGGGCAGAGTTTTGTTCTGTGGTTATTTGGGGTTTGTGGGAGGGAGTATTAGTTATCACCTTTTTCTCAAATTCACATCTTCTGCTTTAGTGTTATTCTCTACCACCCACCAGCTTTCATTTTTTTCTACACCTAAAGGTATCATCTTTTTTTTTTATCCTCACCTGATTTAAGAGGGAAAGGGAAAGAAACATCAATGTGAGAGAGAAATATCTATTGGTTGCCTCCTGTGCACACCCTGACCAGGAATTGAACCCATAATCTAGATATGTGCCCTGATTGGGAATTGAACTCATAACCTTCTTGGTGCATGGGACGATGCTCCCACCTGGCAAGGACTGGTATTATTAATCTTTATTCACCAAATGCTATTCTCAGATCTGTCCTGTTGCCTGTTCAGTTTGATATTCCTATTTCTCACCATCCCCTTCACTTTGCATACTCTACTAATTATCCTAGCTATGCTCCCCATGGAAACTCTTTTCTCTTCTGAGATGTCCAATGTCAGTTTTGTTCCCTGCTTTCTTTATTCCCAAGTCTCAGTCTTTACCTGAAGTGTATAGCTGTTTGTGGGAGCAAGCAATGCAGTGACTGTATTACTTTCCAGATTTATCATAGTACCTCTTCTTTCCGCTGTAATATTTTCTATCTCAGGAAAGAAACTGCATCTGTGTTTTCTCTCCATTTCCAGACCAGGAGGCTAAGCCTGAGATTCAAGGTGCTTCAGAAGAAGAAAAGTCAGAAGGAATGTCGAAGGAAAAGCTTGGGGAAAAAGGTCCTCTGTGTCCTAAGTTGGAAGTTCATGCACTGGAAGGTGCGTTGGAAACAAAGAAGGAAAGCCCTGCGGTGGAGACTTGCAAGAAATCCCTTCCCCAGGAAGAAAGCTTGCGGCAAAGGTCATCCCCTCCCAAGAAACTTCTCACTAAAGACAGAGGCCAGGAATGCAGCGATTGTGGGAAGACCTTTTTTGACCACTCATCCCTTATCCGCCATCAGAGAACTCACACGGGAGAGAAGCCCTATGACTGCCATGAGTGTGGGAAAGCTTTTTTCAACCGTTCATCTCTAACTGTACATCAGCAAATTCACACTGGAGAGAAGCCCTTTAAATGCCGCGAGTGTGGGAAAGCCTTCAGTCACAGGTGCAGTCTCAGCAGACATCTGATGTCTCACACTGGGGAGAGCCCCTACGAATGCAGCGCATGTGGGAAAGCCTTTTTTGACCGCTCATCCCTAACTGTGCATCAGCGAATTCACACTGGAGAGAAGCCATTTAAATGCAGCGAGTGTGGGAAAGCCTTCTTTGACCGTTCATCCCTCACTCGACACCAGAGAATTCATACTGGAGAAAGTCCTTATGAATGCAATCAGTGTGGGAAAGCCTTTAGCCAGAAAAGCATTCTTACTCGACACCAGCTCATCCACACTGGCCGGAAGCCATACGAGTGTACTGAGTGTGGGAAAGCCTTCTATGGTGTCTCATCGCTGAATAGACATCAAAAAGCTCATGCTGGAGAGCCTCGCTACCAGTGCAGCGAGTGTGGGAAAGCGTTCTTTGACCGCTCATCCCTTACACAGCATCAGAAGATTCACACTGGGGACAAGCCCTATGAATGCAGCGAATGTGGGAAAGCCTTTAGCCAGAGAAGCCGGCTTACACGACATCAGAGGGTTCATACAGGAGAGAAGCCCTTTGAATGCAGTGTATGTGGGAAAGTGTTTAGTTCTAAATCGTCAGTTATTCAACATCAACGGCGCTATGCCAAACAGGGAATAGACTGAACTGAGTTAAGCTTTAGTCAAAGGACCTCCATGAAAACTTAAAATAGGTCTTCCCCATTTTAAATCCATCAATTAATCATTCTGCCTATTCTGGCTACTCCTCTCCTTTCCTGCCTCTGCTACCACAGTGTTTGAATCAAAACTCTGTTTACCGTGTTACAGAAGTGGGATGCTAGAAATTAGGGTGCGACTTTTAAGAGTCAAAATTTTGCAGGAGCTTCTCAGGCAATAGGATAAATGTTAGGAGTTGATCCTAAGACACACCTCTTATCTGAGGCCCCTGATATCACTGCACTTTAAATAACTGGAGGCTACAACAGGAGGAGAAAGGAAAAGTTCTATCAGCATGGGACTGTTTTTCCTAGATAGTTCTTTTTATAGCTATTAGTCCCTCTCTTGGAGCTTTTTGGGGCATTGACGTGTTTTGTATATCCCAGCTTTTAGATTTCTTGAATACTGCTACTAAGTACTAATAGCTAACACTTATTGAGCACTTATTACAGGGTTCAGGGGTGGGGAACATCTGGCCCGTGGACTACATAAGGCTCATGAAATCAATACCAGCTAATATCACACACCTCACCGAATTAGCCTGACCAAATATAGCAGGCTAATTTTTTTTCTTTATTGATTTTTAAGAGAGAGGGAGGGGGAGTGAGAGAGAGAAACATCAATGAGAGAGAATATCAGTTGACTGCCTCCTGCATGCCCCCCACTGGAGATCGGGCCCACAATTTGGGCATGTGCCCTGAATGGGCATCAAACTGGCACCTCTTGGTGCATGGGTCGACACTCAACTAATGAGCCACACTGGCAGCAGGCTAATTTTTAAGTTGATAATTTTATATGGCTTGCAAATGATGTTCTGAATATCCAAATGGCCCTTGGCAAAAAAATGGTTCCCACCCCTGGAAGCACTCAGCTAGGAGTTTTGCAAGGAGATTATTTGGTGCTCTTAACTGCCCTATTAAGTAAGTTACTCTTACTACCTGAATTTTACAGGTGAGCAAACTAGAGTTTTAGAGGGACTAAATAAGTTGCCCAAGATGACAGCTAGTAAAAGGTGAAGCCAGGTCTTGAATACAGGTCTACTTCAAAATCTATTCCCTTTACCAGTATGCTATGAAGTTGGTTTTATAATTTATGTACATGTATTATCTAACTAGATTATAAGCACCTGGAGGCATGATATATCTTTGTAGTTCACACAGTGCCTTGGAAATAATAGGTGCCCAATAAATATCTATCTGGATTAATGACTTTTCTTCTTACCCAGTTTTATTTAAAACACGTCTTGGATTCATATTCTTTCTCTGAATTCTTAGTCTAGCCCATACCTTTATCATCAAAGGATCCCATTATTGCAGTAGTCACTTTCTGATTCCAGTTCTTCCCTCTTCATCATTGAAGAGGGACATGCTAAGCTATGATGTCACAACAAGTAAACCCTCAGATAAACAGATTCATTTCGAAGAGAGACATGCTAAGCTATGATGTCACAACAAGTAAACCCCCAGATAAATAGATTCATTTCTCGCATAAAATCTGATGTGAGTCAGTCTGTCTACTCCATCCTCATATGTAGAACATGTTGCCTCCAAGGTCATTATGGAAGGGAACGCTGGAGAATTTTGTGAGATATTTTGAAGGCCCATCACTTCTGTCCACATATCATAAGCCAGAACCCAGCACCAAAAGGCTAGGGAAGTAAACAAGCACCTCAATATTGGGGTAATATCAACAGATATCGGTTACATTTTGCATATTACTGTTAGGCCATTCTGCCCATCTTTGCCTACTCAGGATGCAAAATAGCTCCTCAGTTAATGAAAACATCCCTGAATATAAAGGTTTGGCTTGACGTGATCCCACATTGCTGAACTTTAAGTCTTGACTCTCGAAACTCTTCTGTTCCCTGGACCCAGCCCGATAGTTTTATTTTGTCAAAGGTCAGGCATCAGGCAACTTAGACTTATTAGCTTAAGATGAAGCTCAGAGAGGACTTCCCCAACCTACTAACACTCCTGTTGATCTTGGCCCACCTTTCTGCAAGCAAATGAGTGGCAGGGAAGACTTTTCATGTGTGGACTTTTGAAGCAACTTGAAGAAAAACAGAGTACAGAATCTATTGAAGTGGATAATATCTGATAATATTTAATAATGTTATGTAGAAAATAAAGGGGACTGTTGATAAACCTTTGGTAACTGTCTGAGAGTTCTGAAATTTTTATATTTGTTAAGTGTAAATTGAGGATCAAATATTTCCCTAAGATATTCTGGCAATGTCAATAAAATGGGACTAGAATTCAAAATTCTAACACATTTTTTAGTACAGAAGTAAACAAAACCAAGTGGGGACATTGATAGTTCTTTGTTTCCTTTTTTAATTTGGTATTTTGCAGAGGACTCTTTTTAGGGGGGGAGGATCTATAATTCTGCCTTTTACATTTTTTTTTTTTTATATTCTCACCCAAGGATATTTTTCCATTGATTTCTAGACCAAGTAGAAGGAAGGGAGGGAGAGAGAGAGAAAAAAACATCAATGTGAGAGAGACACATCAATTGGTTGCCTCCCGTATGACCCTGACTGGGGCTGGGGATTGAACCCGCAACCTAGGTACTAGCCCTTGAGTAGGAATCAACCTGTGACCCCCTTGGTCCACGAGGTGATGCTCTAACCACTGACCCAAATCAGCCAGGGCTACATTTTTTTTTGAAAAATTGATATTTAGAGAGAGAGGGAGAGAGAAACGGATATATGAGCGAAACATTGATTGCTTCCTGAAGGCCCGCTACTGGGGATTGAGCCTGCAATCTTTCTATGCATGGGATGCGCCCAACCAACTGAGCCACACAGGCCAGGCTGCAGAGAATTGTTTTAAAATATGAAATACTGTTCCATCTTCTGCTAAAAGTTCTGAAGAAAGGGCCAATTTACCTTTTAATTGGTATCTCACAATAGGGCATGCATTAGTAGAGGCCTTAAATTTTGAGGTTTTAGCTTCACCTAACAGCCATTAGTAGAATCCAATCTTGGAATCAGAGATTAGTCAAATTGGAAGCATGCCAGCATTCTTAAGACAAAAGGTGGAAGATTTGGTCATATTTGTAGTGGTTTAGCCTAAGACTTTGAAATTAGTTTTGAGGAAATGAAATAATCTCTATGGGGTTTAAATAAGCCCTATCTAAATTTTAAAAGAGAACTGAATACCACACAATAGAAGCACTCCACAAATCAACTTCAAAGAAAAGGCACTGCAGTGCTAGAGAACTCTGAAGTAAGAGGGTATGGTTGATAGAGAAAATCTGAGCAATGCGCTGACAAATACCTGTGTAATTATGAGAACGTGAGTCCCAAATCAAATGCACTATCTAGAACTAGAAACTTCAGTAGGAAAATAAACTTCAAGCTACTATTTATTTAGGACTGCAGATACCTTCCACTGTTGTGCTATTAGCTTTTAGTCCACTCTACATGGAGCTTCATGGAGCTCTGATTTGGGTTATATGCTCGGTTTTTTTTGTTGTTGTTTGTTTTTGTTCATCCTCATACACAGATATTTTTTCCACTGATTTTTAGAGAGAGTGGGAGAGAGAAACATCGATTTGAGAGAGACACATTGATTGGTTGCCGCACATGCCCTGAACAGGACTGGGGATTGAACCTGCAACCCAGGTATGTGCCCTTGACCAGGAATTGAACCAGTGACCCTTCAGTGCATGGGCTGATGCTCCAACCACTGAGCAAAACGGCCAGGGCTATATGCTCTTGTTCTTCACTTCAGTTCCTCAAGACCCTTAGATTCCCTGACCTTTCATTCCTCTGCCCTTTAACCTGAACTTTAGTGCACCAACTGTTGTTGTTTCTAGAGTGGTGGTTGTTTTGATCTTTGTTTTAATTTTATTGATGACTAAGATTCCTTAGCCTGGCCCTGCTGTTCCACTGATACTGTGGACACCCTGCCTTCCCTTTCTCATCACATATCTAATAATAGCTGCTGAAAGTAAAAATATTCATATCAAAAAGCTCAAAGTCCAGTTGCAACAGTCAGCTGTAGCCCTGGCAGCTGTGTGTGTGTGTGTGGGGGGGGGGGGTCCAGTTTAAGTCAGCCACAATGAACAAGGAGCTGAGACTATGTCTAATCTCAAATACTGCCAAGTCAAAGTTAACTCCAGACAGCTCATCCATGAATGGTCATCCTTCAGTACAAAAGCAGCAGACATGAGAATGTAACTGAAAGCAAGACCACTAAGTCTTAATAGACATGATGTCCTTCTTGCCCTCAACATCAGTATCTGTGAAACCAAATGCAGACTCCTACCCACATCTACACTGGTTACCTCACACTCACATTTCTGAGAATTCCTGGTTAGTAATAAAGCAGTTATTCCAGAAAGAGCTCAAAGAGCATGGGCACCAGGATGAGAAGGATGGGATCCTCTTGTCTAGGTGTTTTTAAAAAAAAACAATTATTTTAATTTTTTTGTGCCATATTGGCACCCCAGCAGGTGAAGGATGGAGAATTAACATGGCATTCCTTCCTTTCATCTTAATAGCAGGAACCTGGGACTTTAGGAGGATAATAAAGTGATGGTGAAGCCCAGTAGCAGAAACCACAAAAATCAGTCCTAGTGATGATCAAAGATTTGGTCCCTGGTATAGTTCCCAGCTTGTTGAACATGCCAGAGGCACCGTGTAAGGATGTAGATTTCTTTCCATCATACATGTATATTAAACCTGTGGAAAGTCTGCAGAAGAGGCTAATGACCAAATATCATAGGATCAACTGTTCCATGTATTAAGCCATTTTATAGAACCTCATGGTAAAGTCACTTGCAATAGCTCGTGTTGATAAGTAGTATTGAATAATCCTGTCTATGGCAGAGGCTATTAGTTGTTAAACTTGGAGTCCTTCTTCTTCTTCTTCTTCTTTTTTTTTTTTTTGTGGTACATGCCCCTAGCAGGAACCAAACCCAGGACTCTCTGGTCCGGAGGCCGACACTCAACTGCTGAGCCAAACTGGCCAGGGCTTCTTCTCTTCTTTAATAATAGGAAATCAGAGTCCGTTCTGAGCAGCAGAATGCCCAACTAAAACATATATTTTAATCCTCACCTGAAAATATGTTTGGGTTTTTTTTTTTATTGATTTTAGAGAGAGAAGAAGGTGGGAGAAACATGGATGTGAGATATAAACATTGATTGGTTGCCTCCTGTACACACCTCAACCGGGGATTGAACCCGCAAGCTTTTGGTGTATAGGACAATGCTTCAACTGAGCCATGCAGCAGGGCATGCCCAACTTTATTTCTCAACCTTTTGCAGTGAGGTATATGGCCAATGAAATCTTGCTGTATCAGATCAGCCCAATGATATATTGATATATTTGGAATTTATTGCATAGGACTTTAGCATGGCACCTTGAAAGACAGAGGGACTGCTAAAAATTTCCTTTTGGTCTTGTCCTTCCCTTCTTTCTACCTGGAATGCAGATTTAATGACTGGAGGTATAAGTGGGACTTGACCACATTTGGATGGTACAGGTTTCCCTTGCTATCTATTGGGCCCTGCGACATTCCAACATGCAATTGGTTTCCAAATGAGCAGCTTCAGCATCACTTGGGAACTTCTTATAAATGCAAATCCTCAGGTTCTACCCCAGACATCCCGATAAGAGTGTTTTCATTATAGTGTTCAACGAGCCCTCTAGGTGATTCTGATCACGCAACAAACAGTTTGAGAACCCCCTCTTTAGAGGCTGGGAAGAAGAGGAACTACTTAAGGAGACTGAGGAGGAGTGATTAGTCAAGGAAGAAAACCAGAATGTTTCATGGAGGGAATATTTTACCAACTACTGTTGGTAGGTAAAGTGAGAGGACTGAGAACTGACCATTGACTTGGAAAGAAAAGATGGGATTTCTGTGATAGGGATGATAAACAAATCTAAAAGGGTGGGGCCTTTCATACACACTTTTTTTTTTTTAAGAAATTGCCCATTCCTGCTGATGGAAGGGTGGGGGGCTCCCTCTGGTGGTTCTTTGAACTGGCAGGATTGTATTCCCCATGTGTCCCCTCTCCTCCAGGTCTAGCCGATTAGGCCAATCTACAGACCATTTAGGAGATAAGTGTGGTTATATCTGTGTAGCAGAAACCCAATGTAGCAGTGGTTTAAACAAAATACCAGTTTACACCTCTCTTATGTTAAAGCCCAAGATCTGTTCCACCAAACTGTCAGGGGCTGACTTCCTTGTGTCTTGCATTCCTAGGGTGTTAGCCTTGCCCGCATGCTCCATGACGACTTGTCCATGTTCCAGCCAAGTATGTAGGAGCTTTCTTCTTCACCGTAAGACTCACTTCTTTTACCCACCCCTGGCAAGAGGCAGGAGTGATGAGAAGTGTAATCTTTACTCTGGGAAGCCTGAGGCCTAGCTAAAAGTGGGGGCTCTGTTAGAGAAAGGCCAAACGGACATTGTGGCTTGTACCAAAACATGGGCAGGCTGGATAATTTGATTTTCTTTCTTGGAATTTGAACTGGATCGAAAAACAGGCAAGAGCATGCACTAGCCTGAAGATACACCCACTCCCGCCGGCGGCTCCTAGCCCGTGGGGAATCTGGAGGAGCTGCAGGTTCCTGTCTCCTTGAGGTCCGCGGGAACAGCGGGGACCTGGCTCATTCTGGGTTGAGGTAATTCCTGGGGCTGAGATCCCACTTTTCCTTATTCCGAGGTTCAGCCTATAATAAATATCTCGAGTTACTTGGGGTAACTGTCCCTGCCACAACGGGCCTATAGCCAGGGAGAGGCAGTAGGGGGTACACGATGCGGGCGCCCCTCCTCCCAGCGAGCACAGAGCCGAGGAGGGGATCCTGTGGACCGGGCGCCGCCCTCCGCAGGGTCCAGTCGCAGGGAGTGAAGGTTCCATGCGAAGTGCGGTTCGGCGCGGCCGAGGGTTTCTTACGGGGCCAGAGTCCAGCGTCAGCCTCGAGGAAGGGCTGACCCTTCCAGTAGCCGGGAGGCGCTTTCCGAGGGGCCGAGCGCAGCCGGGAGCCCGGTCTCGGCGCACGCGGCGGCAGGAGGCAGGTCTGACAGCGAAAGGCGGCCTGACAGGAGTGCCGCGGGGGCCTCTGGGAAGCGGCGTCCGGCGACGCGCCGCCCGCGCGGAGGGTTCTGGGAATTATAGTTCGACCTTGTTTTCGGGCTCGCGTGTCTTGGCCCCGCAGGCTCCTAGATGCCTCGTCGTCGGTCGGGCTGCTTCGGTGTCTGGCGTGAGGTCGAGCCTGGGGTCGAGGAGGGCTGAGCGCGGGTCCTTTTTAAACCTGAGTGGCTGGAGGGAGGGCAGCAGGGATGCCCCCAGGTGGGCGCCAGGCGGCCTGGCGGGGGTCGCGCGCGTCCCCTGGCCTCTGGGTGGGCAGAGCGGTGGACCCTGGGTCCCGCGGCGGGGGTCTGCGCGGCCAGGGAGGGACTTGCCATTGAGCCCGTGGGCAGAGGTGAGAATTTCAGAGTGCGGCGCGGTGCCTGCTGGAGAGATAAAAGGAGAAAGGCTGCCCTCCGGCTGGGGCGGGCTCAGGAATGGGGCAGCATCCGTCTTCTCTAGGAGAGTCTCTCCTGGAGGGAGAGCCGCTACCTGCATTGCCTGCTGGCCTGTAGGGTGATGCATGCCTCCTTTGCCCCCCAAGTCAACAGATCTGACATTCAGACTTTTGATAACTTCCTTTTGTTTCCATAAGGTGGTAGGAAGGAGACTATTAGACCCATTTGGCAGATGGGGAAAGTGAGAATTTGAGAAGTCAAGATTTGTTTAGAATGCTGGGTATTTTTCCCTGTAAGACCCATCGCTTTTTTTGCGCAAGGCAGCACTGTATCTGGAAAACCAGTGTTCAAAAAGAATTTAGTCTTCCTTCACCCAGTGAGCCTGGAATAGAACAGGAGTGCATCATTAAGTGAGGCACAGATTGACACAGATTCTTTGCTTATTATTTTGACTATCGCTCTGCAGATGACAGATAGAAATATGTATTTAACTTATGTGTCCAGATTCTCCTAGCAGAATTCTGTTGGAGGTTAAGGGCAAAGAAAACCTCAGGCAGCCATGGTCGTGGCTTTCTTGATTCAGGGATGTTGTGGGATTGTCCCTTGGTTCTCTGGGTTGATTCTTTTAGGTGACAGGTAGATGTGTATGGCAGTTTCTTTGAGTTCACTGCAAGGCAAGAGTCATCATGGCTCTTGTCTCCACTTCTAGAGTCACTTTCTGAGGACTCAGACCTCCATGCTGGAAACCCAGAAGAAACTGGCATGCCCACTGTGCCGCTGACTCCTACAACCCAGGTTGGTCTACATTACTCTTTTCCCCCTCTGTTCTCAGAGCATGGATATTCTGTTTCTTCCATTGTTAGGGAATTCCTTGGCCCGGAGTCCTAGACCACTGTGTCTACCCTGATACACTGAGTGATGGACTTCATGATGAATGTTCCTCACTGTGCAGAACTTTTCCTCCTGGCGTTACTTCTTCACTACCCACTCAGTGCTGATGCACACTTAGTAGCTCTGCAGTACTGTACTTGGCCTCATGGTGAGAGGCAAAGTAATAAAAACCACTTGTTCCTTTCTCATGAAGTTTACTGAGGAGCTAAGATGTAGATAAGTGAAATAGTTCCATCAAGAAGAAGTATGTATATTTTTAAATGCAGAAATGACTGGTAGGGACAAGTCATAATAGGACATGGAGGAGGTTTTCCATCCTGTGGAGTATTTTGGGAAAAAAATACTGAGATAAAAGCTGCACTTTGAAAAACAAAAGAGAGTAGGGAGTTGGAGAATAGAATACAGGAATATTCCAAGAGAGAGAACAGCTTCGGTGAAGAAAAGTCTCCAGGTATTGCCTTGGCCGGTTTGGCTCAGCAGTTAGAGCGTTGGCCCAAAGACCAAAGAATCGGGGGTTCAGTTCCGGCCAAGGGCATGTACCTTGATTGTGGTTGCAGTTTGGTTCTGGGCCCTGGTTGGGGTTGTTCAGGAGGCAACCGATCAATGTATCTCTCTCACATTGATGTTTCTCTCTCTCTCTCTCCCTCTCTATCTCCCTCCCTTCCTCTCTCCCCCTCCCTCCTCCTCCTCACCTCTCCTTCCCTCTCTCCTATTCTATATGAAGATAAATTGAAAATATCCTCAGGTGAGGTTTAAAAAACAAAAAGTCTCCAGGTGATGAGAGAGTTGGAGATCTTCAAAGGGTGTGTGTGTCACTGTGGAGTTGGAGTGTGGTGAGGGAAGCTGGGATATGCTGTAGCCAGACCACAGGAAAATCTACACTGGGTCTTATTCCTAAGGCAGATAAGGCCCCATTGAAGTCTTTAGAGGCCCAGCACGATGAAACATGCCACCACTGATGGAGAGAGATCTGTCAAAATGCTGCTGTAGGGTCTGGCCTAGGACACTGAGAGAATGGCAGACCCTGTGGTAAAGGCACTGGAACTACTCTTTTTTTTATCCTCACCAGAGGACATTTTTTTGTTTTTTGTTCAGATAGAGTGGGAGGGAGAGAGAGGAAGAGAGAGAGAAAGAGAGAAACATCGACGTGAAAGGGACACATTGAGTGGCTGCCACCCACACGACCCAACCAGGGCCGGGGACAAACTGCAACCGAGATACGTGCCCTTAGTGGGAACCGAACCCGGGTCTCTCTGGACCGCAGGCCAGCGCTCTAACCGCTGAGCCAAACCGGCCAGGGTGGCACTGGAACTACTTTTTAGCCTCAGCCCTGGCCTTCTGGCACACAGGAGAACACTGGGAGACAATGTCAGTACTGGTTCCGATCTGTGAATGTGTAGATTTCCTTCGGAGGGAAGCAGGAAAGTCAGTAGCATCTGCTGGACAGTGTCTGCTTAGTCTGCCCATGCCCCCAGCTCCAGCACAGACACACTGAACAGCAGCTCCATAAATAAGTTTGATTGCTGAGGTTTCTCAGGGAACTGAAAGGAACTGCCAGTTCGTCTGTCATTGTGAGCATTGTTTGTAAATTACACTTGCCCCTTGAACAGCACGGTTTGAACTGCACAGGTCCACTTATATGCCAGTTTTTAATAAGTATTATAAATGTATTTTCCTTGTGGTTGTCTTAATACAGTTTTCTTTTCTTTAGCTTATTTATTGTAAGGATACAGTATATAATACATGTAATATATAAAAAAATGTGTTAATCAACTGGTTATGTTTTTGGTAAGGCTTCAGTCAAGGGTAGGTTATTAGTAGTTAAATTTTGGGGGAGGTCAAAAGTTATGTGCAGATTTTCAGCTGTGCAGGGTGGGGGGTCAGCACCCCCAATCTCTGTGTTGTTCAAGGGTTGACTATATTTTGCTTGTGTTGATCATTCTTGAAGCATTTTGCTTAAGGGACCATAAACTAAAATAAAGAGAGTAGTGATTTCATACTTCAAGTATTAGAATAATGAATTATTTCAAGCAGGGGCTTTTTAAAGTAGGTAGTTCTTTAACTTATTTCATTATGTGAATTGTTTTACCAGTTCTTGAAGGGCTATATCATAAACATTAGAATATATAAACAAAGTTAACCATTATATTCAGGGGGCTATGGCAACAGGTTCAAAAAGGAGTAAGACTGGTTCATTGCTAGCATCCCAGGGACTGGTCTGTTTCAGTATGTCTCATTTAAGTTGAAGTTGTATAGAAATTTTTACAGAATTAGAAAATTATTAGACATATTTCTTATTAGCAGTAAGCAGACTCAGCTACAGATTCAAAGGAGCATTACCGACCCTGCTCCCTCACCCTACTCTTTATTTAATAGACAATCTAAACATTGTGCTTACCTGCAATGTATTCAGTGTTTGACACTTCTTTTTAGAGACATACTTTTATTAAATAACCTCACAACAATTACTTTTAAGGCAAGTTCTGAAAATGTAATCTTTCTGTGTGCCCCTACCTGCTTTGATAAATACACAACCTCATTATAAAAGTAACACTTAATCTATTTTAAGTCTCTGAAATATGAATAACTCTCCCTCACACCACACCCAGTTTAAAAAAAAAGATGGCTGTTTCATTCCCAGTTTCGACCAAATTTTTTCCCTAATTCTTTTTTTTAAATACAGAGTGGAGCAAAAGTCCGTTTATAGTTGTTGGTATGGAAAATAATACAATAATTAATAAATAATAATACAAGAATAAACTCTGTGTTTTGCATACTCACAACTGTAAACCTGTTTTGCTCAACCCTCTATGTTTTTATTGATATTTGGAAAGAAGAGAGAGGGAGAGAAAGAGAGAAATACTGATGTGAGAGAGAAACATTGATTGGCTGCCTCTCTTATACACCCTGACTGGGGATTGAACCCGAGACCTTTTGGTGCATGAGACGGTGCTCCAACCAACTGAGTCACACCAGCCAGGACTTTCTCAATTCTTATGTCCTCACATACATCTTTTAAATCTCCAGCCAAAGACCTGGTTGTTGGAATAACATTAATTTGTAAAATCCAGCACTTACATACTGTCTTGAGAGGAGGGCAATTTGATCCCTTTAACGTCAAGTTCATTGAACACAGTGGCCACCTTCTTCTGCATTCCCCTACAAGACTTAGACCTTAACGTTTAGAATGGTTCTTGGTTTACAGGCAGGCAGGTTGGAGAGTGAACTTTACTTCCTCCTCTCTCCTCCTTGGCATTTCCCTCCTTTCCTCTTGCCACCTAAGCCAAGTGGCTGGGAATTCATCTTGCCTCCCGATCCTCCTTCCTCTTGCCTCTAGAACCTTGCCTACTCCCTTCTCTCGTGCCCTTTTGGCTTATTTTCCTCCTCTTGGCTGCTTCCTCCTGCTCCTCCTCCCTCATCTGCTTATTGGTGGCCCTCATCATGTCCAACTGAGGCTTTTTGCTGTTCATGACTTGCAGCCTCTCCAACTGGTTCATTTTCTCCCCTGAAAAGTCCCGAAAAGGGACTGAAACTTCCTCTTCTTGCTGGAGCCCCAGAACACCCTCTCTTTGGGTAGATGCTTCTGGAAGCGCCCCACAGAAGCAGTGGAGACCTTGGCCACTTGGACGGCGAGGCCCTGCTCCTCCTTACTCTGGTGTCCTGGAGGATGCGTGCCAGTTGAGCTGGGAAGCTGCATCTTGTGTGCATGAGCTAAGTTATGCAGCCGGTTCAGCTCGTTCTTGGCCACCTGTCCCTTAGCCTGAAGCTATTGGCAAACTGGTCCTCAAAGGGGTCAGCACTGCAGGGCACTTCAGCCAGCCACTGGCCACTCACCTCGTCCCACACCAGAGTGGTCGTCTTCTTGGATCAGATGCCTTGGAGGCATGCGAACTGCTGCCGGTATGAAATCAGCCGCAGCGGGGGCACTGGCTTCTCTCTGGGCAAGTGAGCTGTGGGCTCTGGCAGCCGCGCCACCAGTGCCTCCTCCACGTGCTCTGTGGGCAGCTGCTACAGCTGGTTGAAGAGAAGCCTCCAGTGTGGGTACCCTGCCCTTCAGGCCTGTGGGTGGGAGGTTCCAGTGGGAGGCCAGCAGGTTACCCAGGTTGAACTCCAGCTCCAGCTCCTTGTGCACTGTGATGCGCTGCAGCTTCTTGGCTTTACCCCGCTCCGACTTTGCCAGAAGTTTCTCCACCCTGTGGCCCCAGCTCAGCTCACTAGCTCCAGGAAGAAAGTTCCTATTTGATTCACTTCTGTTCCCCTCCCCACCTCTGTTCCCATGCACAGTTTTATAGACCACACCATTTAAAAGTTGTTTCTATTAATTCTTATTCAAGTGTTTCTTTCCTCCTTCAACTGTCTGACACATACTTACAGTGTACTGCTGTGTGCCACGTACTAGGGCTGCTTCAGTGAGGAACAGACCTGACCTCTGCTCTCAGGAGCTCACTGTAAATGGGGCAGAGAGGGTAACTCAGAAAGTTCCTCGATGTGTGCGTGATCCAGAGAAAGGAAGGAGCATGGGGCTATAGCCAGAGGGTCAGGGACTGTTTGCCTAAGGAGGTGACACCTGAGCTGAGATCTGAAGTGTGGGTGGGATTTATAAATGCTGAAAGGATGTGGGGGGGTGAGTGTATTCAGGAACAGGAAGCAGCATGTGGAAAGGGGCCAAAGGGAATGTAGCACACATTTCAAGCAGAGGCAGCCACCAGTTGCAACACAGAGATTGCAGAAGGAATGGTGTACGGGAGGGTGGAGGGCGGAGGGTGGAGGGCGGAGGGCGGAGGGTGGATGGTGGGAGGGAGTCAGACCCATCGGCCTCTGAGAAATGGCAAGAACACTTTGGGGACTTTCATAATAATACCATTTTTATTTTTGTTTTGTTTTTTTATCCTCACCCGAGGACATTTTTCCATTTTTTGTTCAGGTAGAGTGGGAGGGAGAGAGAGGAACAGAGAGAGAGAGAGAAACATCGATGTGAAAGGAACACATCGAGTGGCTGCCACCCGCACAACCGACCAGGGCCGGGGACAAACTGCAGCCGAGGCACGCGCCCTTAGCGGGAACCGAACCCGGGTCTCTCAGGACCGCAGGTCGACGCTCTAACCGCTGAGCCAAACTGGTCAGGGCAATAATACCATTTTTAAAATAAATCTATTTCTGTGATGTGTGTAGCAAACACCTTAATGTTTAATATATATTGAACTGATTTTATTCTCAATGGAAAATTAGAGATAAATATTTTTGACCCTCTTGTATTTTAAAATCATACCATAGGAAAATACTTCATTTATAATTGTATTCTCTCCACTTTCCCATGTCTAAATAGTAAGGATTTCTATAGTTTTGTAAATTCATTGATACATAAATTAATAACTTGGTACCTTCAGATTTTACCTCAAAGTTGCTTTTCTTCCTGCCTGTAGGTAACATGCAGTCCTAGTGCATGGAGGCGAGGAGCCAGTCCATGGCTACAAATACAGCTGCCCCCTTACCTGCAGTTCCGCTTTCTGCAGTTTCAATTGCCTGCAGTCAGCTATGGTCCAAAAATATTAAATGAAAAATTCCAGAAAAAAACAATTCCTAAGTTTTAAATTGTGCACTGTCCTGAGTCATATGATAAAATCTCCATGTTCTGCTCCATCCTCCCCAGGACATGAGTCATCCCTTTGTCCAGTGGCTCCACACTGTTTACACTACCAGTCATTAGTCACGTAGGAGCCATCTCCATGATCAGATCTACTGTCACAGTATCACAGTGCTTGTGTTCAAGTTACCCTTGTTTTGCTTAATAATGTCCCCAAAGCTCAAGAGTAGTGAGGCTGGCAATTCAGATATGCCAAAGAGAAGCCATCGTGCTTCTTTTAAGTGGAAAGGTGTGTATGTGTAGGAGAAAACATAGTATATGTAGGGTTCAGTACTGTCTGTGTCTGCTGGGCATCTAGAAACATGTTCTCCACAGATGAGGGGGGACTACATACACCAGAGCATCTTAGTGTTGGAAAGGATGTTGGAGGTCATTTCATCTAAACTTTTTGTCTTCCTCCTTCTGTGCTGTCAGTTTGAGTCCTTCCCAGAGGCCTCTGGAAGGAAGTTTCTTAGTGAGCACGAATGTGTTTGGTTTTTCAGGAGTCGCTAATGATCAGGGATATGGCGGAGGCTCTCGCCCAGTGGGGACAGCTGAACCCTCCTCAGGGAGATGTGCCTGAGAAGCATAGGAATCTGGTCTTGCTGGGTAAGGATGGCTCCTCGTCACCCTGTGAATTTACTCAGTGTGGTGCCTTTGCTTCCTTAGTTCCTAGGAGACCTGAGGTTCTCAGATTCAAAGGGTCTTAATTCCTAAAAGGCCCAAGAATGTAATTTCTGCTTTTTGTTTCTGGATATGGTTTTAACTCTCCTGGAGTTAGAAATGGACTCCTTTTTATTGTATTTGCCCAGGCAGTAGCAGCCTTCTTTTCTGCTATCTGACCAAGGATGTTGAGATGAAGTTCTACTGAAAACACCTTTGAAGAAATGGTGCTTATTCTTTTAATAGGGAGAGGTAAAAACAAGTGACTCAATTGCTTTGAATTCCAGTAGACCCTGTATCAGTCTTCCTTTCTTCTGAGCACTGGCGAGGGAGAAATCCAGAACCCGCCTCTCTTACAGTGTCTTTCCTAACGACCGAAGAGCTAACCCTGGACTTCTTACCAGACTCCTTGTTCTTTCCTCATGAACAGGGCTTCCGATTTCCAAGCCCGATGTAATCTCTCAGTTGGAGTGTGGGGAGAAGCTGGAGAGAGAAGCCTCAAAAGCCACTAGTCCAGGTGAGTGAGTTTTGGAAACAGGGAGCTTAAAGCCCAAATGGTCAGTGGGAAAAGCCTCTTTGAAATGCTTGTGGGGGAGCCTTTCAGATTTTGCTAGACCCATGGAAAAGTTGAAGTCCCTCTCTCCCAAGCCACACTGACCTTCTGTGGATGATACTCTGTTATAAATTCATAATGTTACTTCTTTTTTTTTTTTGGTTAATCCTCACCTGAGGATATTTTTTTCCGTTGATTTTTAGAGAGTGGAAGGGAGGGAGACAGAGAGAGAGAAACATCGATGTGAAAGAGACACATTTATGGGTTGCCTCCCACATGCTCCTGACCAGGGCTGGGGATCGAACCTGCAACCCAGGTACATGCCCTTGACCAGGAATTAAACCCACGACCCTTTGGTGCATGGGCCAATGCTCTAACCACTGAACCACACCAAACAGTGCTCATAATTTTGCTTTTTAGAAAGTAAATACTTTCCACTCTTTCAAACCAATATTTTTCCTAATAAGGTGAAATGAAATCAGCATTTTAATAATTTTCATGGGTGCAAGGTTCTAAAGCAGGCTTTTTCATGTATGCTATTTATCTCTGCAAGATAATGTAACTTTGTCTGACAGCGATGACTATAAACCGATTTCTGGGTTTTCCCTTGCTTTCTCTCTATGAGTGGAGGCAGCATAGCATGTGGTTACAAGTACAGACTTTGGGCCCAGGCTTCCCAGGTCAAAGCCGGTCTCCACCACTCACTAGCACTGTGACCTTCAACACGTGAATTATCCTCTTTATGACTCAAATTCCCCAACTGTAAAATGGGGATAATGATAGCACTTAACTCATAGGGTTGTTGTGAGGATCAAATGAGAAAATCCTAGAGAAATGCTTAGAACAGTAACTATGGCTATATGCTAAGAAATGAGAGCTGTTGATTAAATCTTGGTAACTTTGTTTAAAAGATATGGATTTCACCCTCTTGCTTCAGTCAGACTGAGTTGCTGCAGTAGACTCCCAGCTGATTCTACTTTATTTAATCTAGTCTTATATAATTGAGGCAGCAGAATCCTGCTGAATTCCCCACAGCAAGTTTCTTACTCTGCTAGTTCTGTATTTATCTTCCTTCTTTCAAGACCTTTGATAGTCTACCTGCCTGACAATTTTACCTTCTTTATTCTCCAACTTGAACCCTTAACACCAGACAGGCAAGTATCTTACTGTCTTCCACTTACTATGTGTTCTCCATGCACTTGGGGCTTTATTATTTTATCTTTTTATCCTCACCCGAGGACATTTTTCCATTTTTTGTTCAGATAGAGTGGGAGGGGGAGGGGAGAGAGAGAGAGAGAGAGAGAGAGAGAAAGAAACATTGACGTGAAAGGGACACATCGAGTAGTTGCCACCTGCACAACCCAACCAGGGCCAGGGAAAACTGCAACTGAGGTACGTGCCCTTAGCAGGAACCAAACCCAGGTCTCTGGACTGCAGGCCGACGCTCTAACTGCTGAGCAAAACCGGCCAGGGTGCACTTAGGGCTTTAATTCTTCGCTTTAATTCCCCTTAGCTAGAAGTCCGTTTACCTTTACCCTTTATCTACCTAGTTGTCCTTTAAATCTCAAGCACTTCCCTAATTAGGTTATGTAGTGAGAATATTAGAGCATTTTGATTTATTTTATGTACCATCATGGTTGGAATGGATATTAAAGACTATTTAAGCCTGGGAATATTTAAACATTTTCAGCAGTGAAGCTCCCCACCCCCCACATCTCTTCCTAGAAAGTCTAGGATTTGGGGGAGGTATCCTGAAAGGTTGGGGACCAATCTGAGCACATAGGGATTTCACCTTCCCCTCTCTACATGCTATTCATTTTTTAAATTTTTTAACCTGAGGATATTTTTCCATTGAGTTTTAGATAGAGTGGAAGGGAGGCAGGGAGAGAGAGAGAAGCATCAATGTGAGAGAGACACATCAACTGGTTGATTCCCACACAACCCTGACCAGGGCCAGTTATGTGCTATTGGTCGGAAATTGAACCCTCGAGCCTTCTGTCCAAGGGCCAATGCGGTAACTGCAGAGCCAAACCGGGCAGGGCCTATTCATTAAAAAAAAAACAAAAAAAAATTTGGTTTTATTTTATTCTGCAATTTGTCAGTGTGGGGCAATCAATGGTGACCAGTTGCTTGTTAATTACTAAGCTTTGTGATTATTTGAATTTGTAGATTAAAATATATATATATTTATTTTATTTTATTTTATTATTTTATTTTTTTGTTAATCCTCACCCGAGGATATTTTGTTCCTGTTTATTTTTAGACAGAGAGGACGGGAGGGCGGGGGTTGGGAGAGAGAGCGAGAGGAACAGAAAGAGAAACATGGATGTGAGAGAGACACATCAATTGGTTGCCTCCCGCAGGCACCCTGTTTTGGGGGGGTGGGTGGCGAGAATCAAACCTGCAACCCAGGTGCATACGGGCCCTTGACTGGGAATCAACCTGAGACCCTTCAGTAATTGGGCCAACACTCTAACCACTCCGCTACACCGGCCAGGGCTTATTGATTTTAGAGAGGAAGGGAGAGGGAGAGAGAAACATCGATGTGAGAGAGAAACATCAGTTGTCTGTACCCTGCACTCTTCCTACTGGGAGATCGAGCCCACAACCTGGGCGTATGCCCTGACCAGGAATGGAACCAACATACCAGCCAGGCCGAATTTGTAAGATTTTGACCAATTTGAAGACTAGTTCCTAGAATATGAATCTCATCTGGAGACAGTGGAACCAACCGAGATTTTTGTGTAAGAGGGGTTGTTTTGGAAGGTTAGTCTGTAGCATTGAGTGGGACATTTTGAAATGGGAAAAGATTGGCGTAAGGAGATCAGCTAATGATGGTCATTCTCAAGGTGCAAAGCAGCAAGGCCATGGTGTGGTGCTGGCAGTGGGCAGTCTCTGGAAGACCATCTTTCTCTGATCCCAGCCCTGTTTCCCCAGAATCTGGTTTTTTGTTTTTTCACTTCTGCTTAATCTTGTTTTGTTATTCCTTCTCATTTTCTCCCCACTGAACAGAGGGATTGTGAGCACCTGCTCGCCTTTCCCTGTATGCAGCTGTGCTCCTTTGTCCAGTCATCCTTTCTCGTGTTCCCTCAAGACTGCAAGGCTGTTTTTTTATCCTCACCCGAGGACATTTTTGCATTTATCTTCAGATAGAGCTGGAGGGAGAGAGGAAGGAAGAGAGAGAGAGAGAGACATCGATGCGAGAGAGACACATGGAGTGGTTGCCATCCGCACAACTCCAGCCAGGGCTGGGGACAAACTGCAACTGAGGTACGTGCCCTTAGCGGGAACCGAGCCCGTGACTCTTGGGTTCGTGGGCCGACGCTCTAACTGCTGAGCCAAACCGGCCAGGGTGCAAGGCTGTTTTTTGAGAGCTTTCAAGTTCATGTGTTCCCTGTAGCATTTTTTGTTTGTTTTATTAAGTAGTCACTTTACTCAGTAATGATACATATGCATTTTTGTTTTTGTTAGACTGGGAGACAAGACCAGAAAGCAAGGAGCTAACCCAAGAGCCGGATGTTTCCGAAGAAGAGTCAGCCCCTGGGGTGTTAGTAGAAAGATTTCCGAAGGAAGGTGACAGTGGATGTGAGGATTCTTTAGAGTGTCAGCAGGAAAACCATGAGAAACATTTAATACAAGAGATTGTCACTCAGAAGAAATCTTCTGGGGAGAGAAGTTACCAGTGTGATGAATTTGGAAGAAATTTTGGTCGGAGGTCATTACTTGTTCAACAGCAAGGAGAGAGACTACGTAATTGTGATTCACTTAAAAAGAACCTAAAACAAAATTCAGATCTAAAAAGGCATAAGAGAATTTGTTCAGGAAAGAAACCCTGGAAGTGTAATGAGTGTGAGAAAGCCTTTAGTTACTACTCAGCTTTTGTCTTGCATCAGAGAATTCACACGGGAGAAAAGCCCTACGAGTGTAATGAGTGCGGCAAAGCCTTTAGCCAGAGCATACACCTCACTCTCCACCAGAGAATTCACACCGGAGAGAAGCCCTACAAATGCCATGAGTGTGGGAAAGCCTTCAGTCACCGCTCAGCCCTTATTCGGCATCACATAATTCACACCGGAGAGAAACCCTACGAATGTAATGAATGCGGGAAGGCCTTTAATCAGAGTTCATACCTCACTCAACACCAGCGAATTCACACCGGAGAGAAACCTTACGAGTGTAACGAATGTGGGAAGGCCTTCAGCCAGAGCACGTTTCTTACCCAGCACCAGGTCATTCACACTGGAGAGAAGCCCTACAAGTGTAACGAGTGTGGGAGAGCCTTCAGTGACCGCTCGGGCCTCATCCAGCACCAGAGAACTCATACTGGGGAGAGGCCTTACGAGTGTACTGAATGTGGGAAAGCCTTTGGCTACTGTTCAGCCCTGACTCAGCACCAGAGAACTCACACTGGGGAGAAGCCCTATAAATGCAGTGATTGTGGCAAAGCCTTCAGTGACCGCTCAGCCCTCATCCGCCACCAGAGAACACACACTGGAGAGAAACCTTACAAGTGTAACGACTGCGGGAGAGCCTTCAGCCAGAGTTCATCCCTCACAAAGCACCGGAAGACTCACACCGGAGAGAAGCCTTACAAGTGTAAGGAATGCGGGAAGGCCTTCAGCCAGAGTTCATCCCTTTCCCAACATCAGAAAATTCATGCTGGAGGGAAAACCAAGGAATATGGGAAAGCCTTTAGTGATCATGCAGCCTTTGGTCAGCAAAAGAGAATTCATACTGGATAAAGACAGTAAACTGTTTTCCTGGGTGTGAGTAATCATCTGAGTAGTTATCTCAGTCAACAGTTCTCGAGGGGAAAATTATTGATTGAGATTACTCAGATGATTACTTACACCCAGGAAAAAATGAGGCTTGTAAGTTGGTCAGTCACAGAGTTTCCGTGAGGGCAGCTTCCCCTGAAGCCAGAGAGCTTGGGCCTGGCAGTTCACTTCTGCGCTCCGTGTCTTTTAACCTCGCTCGTTGAGACGGCACTGAGGATCAACTAACTCCCAGGGTCAGACCTGTAGTCCAGAAAGGGGGAGCACAGAGGGACCTGTAATGTTTTCCATCTGTTTTCAGCTAGCTGAGGTAGCTGACAATGTGCTTATTTATGAAGATTTATCTTCCTTGTATGTAGTTTGTACTTTAGACTTTTTCACACCCTAGTAAAATTTAGTTGTAGACCTGAACTGACACTGCATATTAGGTTGTGAGAATTGTAAAGACTTTGAAATACTTGCCTTTCACCATTTTATTCTTGGGAAGAGGCAGATGACATGATATGTATCATTGAAATTTGGAAGGTTATTATTGGAAATATTTTGAGTGCTGTTGTTTTTTGTTTGTTTGTTTGTTTTAGTTTTCACATTTGACTAAGTGTATCTTTGTGTGGGTTTCTTGGAGTTTATCTTGTTTTCTAAACTTGAGTCTGTAGGTTTATGTCTTGCCAAATTTGGGGAATTTTCAGCCGTCATTTCTCTGAATACATTCTTAACCTCCACTCCCTCCCCTTCTCTCTTTCCAGAACACTGCTGCAAATGGTTAGGTCTTTGCTTGTAATCCCACAGGTTCCTGAGGCTCAGTTCATTGTTTTTTAGTATATTTGTATCTTAATCTGCTCAGGCTGCCATAAAAAAATTTCATAAACTGGGTGGTTCAGACAACAGAGATTTATTCCTCACAGCTATGGAGCTGGAAGTCCAATATCAAGGTGTCGACTTTGGCCTTTGGTGCTGGGTCTCTTCCTGGCTTTCTCGCCTTCTGTGTCCTCACATGGCCTGTCCTTGATGTATGCCTGTGGGAAGAGAGAGAGAGCTCTCTTCTTCTTCCTTAAAGGCCGCTAGTCCTATCAGATTAGGACCCCAGCCTCATGACCTCATTTAACCTTCATTACCTCCAAAAAGTCTGTTCTCCAAATACTGTCAAATTTGGAAGTAGCATTTTAACATACGAATTTGGGGGGGACACAATGCAATCCATAGCATTTGCCTCTGGCCCCCAAATTTCATGTTCTTACATGCAAAATACATTCATTTCATCCCAACAACCCTCTAAATCTTATTCCATCATCAGCTCCAAAAGTCCAAAGTCTCACCTACATATCACATAAATCAAATGTGGGTGAGACTTGAGGTATATTTCATCCTGAGGAGATTCCTCTCCAGCTGTGAACCTGTGAAACAGGACAAGTTATGTGTTTCCAAAATACAGTGGTGGGGCATGCACAGGACAGATACTCCATTCTAAAAGGAGGACTAGAAAGGAAGGAGGGAGGGAGGGGTAAACAGGTCCCAAGCAAGTCCAAAACCCAGTGGGGCAAATTCCATCAGATCTTGATGCCTTACTTTCTAGACCACTGAAGCAGGGGTCCTACCTTCACAAGCCACTGCTGCAGCAGTCCTGCCCCCAAGGCTCAGCTGGGCAGCCCTGCCCCCCCATCCCCAAAGCCTCAGTTTGAGGCCATGTGGCTTGTTGACACTATAGGGATATCCTCACCGTTTGAAACTGATGAGGCAGCCTGATCTCTGAATCGATTCAGAGTCATTCTTCCCCTTTCCTGCAGCATAGGGCAGGTTTGCAGCTCTGCTCTGGTCCTGTGGGATCTAAGAAGCCTGACAGCCTGCCTTAATCTTGTCTAGTGTTTTCTGTCCACTCTAGTACCAGATGGGGGTGATTCTGCAGGTTTAATCCCATCTCTATTCCTCATTTCTGCTGAAATGGCTGATTAAATCCATGAGTGACACCCATGATCTCTTTATTAAATGATATTTAGCCACAGCTGAACAAGCATTCTCATTTTACAATATGGAGAGACAGAATTTTCCAAATCTCCAAGTTATTTTTCCTTTTTGCTTAATAATTGTTTCTTCAATTCATCTCACATTTGACTATAAATAGCGAGGTAGACCCACACTGCACCTTCAGTGCTTTGCTTAGAAATCTCTGCCAAATCTCTGCTCATAAGTTCTCCTTTCCACAAAACAGCAGATCATAATTCAGCCAAGTCCACTGCCATTTTGCAACAGGGATCACCTTCCTATTTCTCGTAACGTGTCCTCGTTTCTGTCTCAGACCTCATCAGAATGGACTTTAATGTCTGAATTTCTAGCATGCACCTCAAAACCCTTCCAGCCTCTACCCATTACCCAGTTCCAAACCTACTTCCGTGTGGTTAGATATTTCTTATAGTGGCACCCCCAATCTGTCTTAGTCTGGTTGGACTGCCATACCACAGGCTAGGGGGCTCAAACGACTGAAATGTATTCCTCATAGCTGTGGAGGCTGGAAGTCCAGGATCAAGGTGTCAGCCAGTTTGGTTTTGGTGAAAGCTCTGGGCTTGCAAACAGCCACCTCCTTGCTGTGTCCTCATAGCCCTTTCTCAGTGTATGTGTGGAGAGAGAGTGAGCTCTTTTTCCTTGGATGATACAAATCCTATCAGATTAGGGCCCCATGTTATGACCTCTTTTAACCTTAATTACCTTCTAAAAGCCCCATCTCTGAATACAGTAACATTGGGGGTTAGGGCTTCAACATATGAACGAGGGGGGCACGATTCAGTTCATAGCAATTTTCTCTTGTTCTGGTTGAGTACTTTTTATTGTTCCACAAGTTCACTGATTCTTTCCTCTGTCCCTTCTATTCTGCTAGTGAGCCCATTGTGTTTTGTTGCTGTATTTTTCAGTCCCATTTGATTCTCTAGTCTGTTTCTTTGCTGAGACTTTCTGTTTTTAATTTTGTGTCAAGCATGTTTGTAATTGCTTGCTGAGGCTTTTATTGTTGTTGTTAATCCTCACCCAAGGATATTTTTCCATTGGTTTTTAGAGAGAGTGAAAAGGAGGGAGGGAGGGAGAGAGAGAGGAAAAAAAATCTGTGTGATAGACACACATAGACTGGTTGCCTCCTGCATGACCCCAACCAGGACTGGGGTTCAAACCTGCAATCTAGGTACGTACCCTTGACTGGGAGTTGAACCCACGACCCTTTGTCCGCAGGCCAGTGCTCTAACCACTGAGCAAAACCAGCCAGGGCTTGCTGAGGCATTTTTATGATGTTTGTTTTAATCTAACAGGTCATTCTAATATCTGCATCATCTCAGTGTTGGCATCTGTGGAGTGTCTTCTCATTCATGTTGAGATTATCCTGGTTCTTGGTGTGATGAGTGATTTTCAATTGAATTCTGGACATTTTAGGTCTTATGTTAGGGGACTCTGTATTGTTTAAATCTATTTGGGCTGGCCTCTGACAATACTCTGGTAGAGAAAGTGTAAGTTGGTGTAGGAAGTCGAGGCTCATCATTGGCCTCTTTGGGCAGGGGTTCTCAATACTGCTGGGCAGGAGTGGGGCTCCCCACTGGGGCTCCACTGATACCACCTACCTGGGAGGGGCAGGAGTGTCTCATTACTGCTCACCACATGGCCCACTGACACTGGGGGGTAGGGTTGAGTGGAGAGTGACCTCACGACTATTGGTCATTGGTGAAAGTCCTGACCCTCCATGCGGCCTCTACTGTCCAAACCAGTAAGGAAGGGAGATATGCCTGGTCTCTGGGTAGATTAGAAGCCTGGTCTCCCTACATAGTCTCCATTGATACTGCTGGAGTGGGATAGGGAAGGGGTTGTTTTGGAAAACCCTGTCTTTCCCTGGCCGGTTTGGCTCAGCAGTTAGAGCGTCGGCCCGCAGACCAGAGAGTCCCGGGTTTGGTTTTTGCTAAGGGCACGGGCCTCGGTTACAGTTTGTCCCGGTTGGGGTCATGTGGATGGCGCCCAGTCAATGTTCCTCTCTCTCTCTTCCCCTCTCTCTCCCTCCCGCTCCATCTGAGGATAAATGCCAAAGTATCCTCGGTGAAAGTTCTGACCCTCCATGAGGCCTCTACTGGATAAAAAAATAAAAAAGAAAACCCTGTCTTCTCACTTGACTTTCTCCGACTCTACTCCAGGGTAGGAGTTACAGCCTGGTGAGGGTGGAGGTGTAGACACCACACCCGGCCTCTGTTGGTTTGGATAGGGCTGAAGGTTTCTCCCATGGTCTTTGTCTGGAAGAGGGTGGTTATTACCTAAAAATGTTGTATTGTGAGGCTGTTTCTTTCCTAGTCCTTTGGGTGAAAAGAGCAGACTTTTCTTGGGTATTTTTTTGTTTGTGCCTGTGGTGTTTCTGGGTTGCTGGCTTCCTCAGAACCCAGTGTGGGACAGATGAGGCAAAAGGAAAACCCAGGGGACTCAGTACTGTGCTTTCTTCAGGTTCCCTGGCCCCAGCAGCCTGTATCCTCTCTACCCTTCAGAATCGTTTTGCATTGTTCTATGTATGGTGTCCGGGGTTTTAGCTGTACTTCGAGGAATAGGGAAGAGTACTCCGCCTTTCCCATGACATCCCTCCTTTTGACACTGAAGTGACATGTCAAGTTGTGTCAGAGGTTTTGGCATACCTAGGTTGTTTGTAACCAGTCAGGATTAGCCACCAAGAGGAACGCTCACTTGTTCCCCAGAGAAGCTGCCAAGGGTGTAGGTAGAAACGACCAGGCTGCAAGCTTCATCCAGCTTTGGAGAAACTATAGTTTTTAAGTTGGGGAAACACCAGTGTTTAATTGTAGATTACAGATTTGAGAGTGGATGATAGATATGACTAAGAATATAAACTATGGAGTTAAACATTTTTATTTGTCTCTCTGTTCTAAGAGCATGTGGGAACCATGGGAGAACTGGATTCAGAATTTTTATTTTTTTTAATTATATATTATCTATAGTTAGCTTTTAGTCATTTTTAATTTGATGTAACACAGGACATCAGAGAACCAACAAAATAAAGAATGATAATAATTGGGATTTGGGACAAACCACTTCACCCTTTTCAATCTGTTTCTTCATTTATATTTTAAAAACTGTGATACCTACTTGAGAGTGGCTAGATTAGACAGATAATGGGTACAAAGTGATTTGTAAGCTATCAAGTGCTATATAACCATTATGTATTGTTCCTAGATTCCTTTGTATGACCTGTCCATCATGTATGCCTTCTGCTGATATAGCCCAATAAAAATGACTACAAATATAACGAAATGTGTCTTTTTATCTTTTGTAAAATAAATTTTCTTAAACACCAGTTAAATCTGTATCTTTTGAGATGATCATGTTTTTCTTTAACCTGTTAATGTAGTAAATTACATTCATGGATTTCCTAATATTAAGGAATAACAGTATTCCTGTAATTTACCCAATTTAGTGATTTTCTCACCCTGGAAGAATCTGTGTTCCTTGAATGCTTAGTTGCATTCACCTGGTGAACTGGAGTTATTGAGTGTGGTGTGTGTTTTGATTGGTTGTGGAGGCTATTCAGATGTCCTATTCTTAAAATTTTTTGTTAGGTTTTTCTAAAAATTAATCTTTTTTATCATTAATTGTGCAAACTACTTTCATTTTCTTTGAAATCCCTGTTTTATCTGTAGCTATGTCATTTTTATTCTCAGAATTGCTTGTTTATAGTCTCTTTTTTTCTCTTGATTGCATTTCCAGAGGTTTGTTAATTTTTCTAGTCATTAAATGAACTGACTTTTAGGTATCAACTCTATTGAAGTATACTTTACATAAATAAAATTCACCCATTTAAAGTGTCTTACGAGTTTGACAAATGTAATACCTATTTAATCACCACCACAATTGTGTGTGTTTGGGGGGGGGTACAGTATAGTTTCTTCCCTCTGCCTCCTAAATTTTGTTGACCTTTTGAAATACTCAACTCTTAGTTTCATTGTTTTTTCTATTGCTTATCTATTTTCTATTTTATTTATTTCTGCTCTAATCTTTATTATTTCCTTCCTTCACCTACCTTTGGACTTCAATTGTTCTTCTACTTCCTTGGAGTGTAAACTCAGGCTGTTGATTTGAGATCTTTTTAAATATGGTTATCTACTACTGTGAACTGCCTTCTTAGTACTGCTTTAGCTGCACCCCATAGGTGTTGGTATGTTGTGGTTTTGTTTTAATTTGTCTCAAAATATTTTCTAACTTTTCTTGTGATTTATTCTTTGACCTATTGGTGGTTCAAATGTGTGTTGTTTGCCCTGGCTAGTTTTGCTCAGTGGTTAGAACATTGGCCAATAGCCCAAAGTGTCACGGGTTTGATTCCTGCTAAAGGGCACATACCTGGGTGGCAGGTTCGATCCCCGCCCCCATCGGGGATTATATGGGAGGCAACCAATCGATGTGTCTCTCTTACATCAATGTTTCTCTCTCTCTCCCTTCCACTCTCTCTTTAAAAAAAAAAAAAGGCAATGGAAAAATATCCTCTGGTAATGATTAACAAACAAAAAGTGTGTTGTTTAATTTCC